GGAGGGATGGGGTGACAATTACACAAGTCAATATTTCCAGCTAATGTATAAAAATAGCTGCCTGTTATTTTGCAGCAGCAATTCATCCTGGGATTAGTGCCAAGAGGAGCAGCAAATATTAGTTAGGTTTATGAACAGGAGGAAAAGGAAATGCATATAGGGAAATAATACTGTTCGTTACAATATAGAACTATGATATGATATTTTATTTTATTTTATTTTTATTTGTTTGTCAAACATGTACAAGATAACAAGTATAGATATGAACATAAACAAGAACAAAGGAAGTAAATACAGATAAATGGCGAAGTAAGACAGGGACGATAGGCATGCTGGTGCACTTATGCACACCCCCTTTAAGGACCTCTTAGGAATGGGGTGAGGTCCACGGTAGACAGTTTGAGGTTGACGTTTTGGGGGTTTGAGGCTATAACTACAGAGTCAGGTATTGAGTTTTATTTATTTATTTATTTATTTGTTTATTTGTTTATTTATTTATTTATTTGTCAATCGCTTACAAGATAATAGGTATTAAGTATAAAGTACATAAGTAAGAATACAGGAAATAGGTACGAATAAATGGGGACAATAGGACAGGGACGGGAGGCACGATGGTGCACTTATGCACTCCCTTTACAGACCTCTTAGGAATGGGGTGAGGTCAATATAGTGGATAGTTCCAGGCGTTGACCACACTGTTTGCTGAAGTTGTATTTTCTGCAATCGAGTTTGTTTCTGTTTACCTTGAGTTCCTATTGGTTGTTTGCCCGTGTGTTATTGTGGTTGGAGCTAAAGAAGTTGTTGACAGGTAAGGTGTTGTAACAGACAATTTTGTGTACTATGCTTAGATCGGAGTGCAGGCGGAGCAGATTGTCCAGGCCCAAAATTTCGAGCTTGGAGGCATAGGGAATTCTATTGTGAGTGGAGGAATGGAGATTTTGTTACTGTATTTTGTATACCGATATACAACTGTGGGTTCCAGGCGGTGATAAGATCTCATGTTAGCCCTGTATAGTTAATAACTAAGTAAGAACTACAGCTAGTCCTGGAGTTACAAGCAGAGTTCAGCTCAAAATTTCTGGAGCTAAGTGAGACATTTGTTAATTTTGCTTTGAATTTTGGTATAGGGCAGTGGTGGCTAACCTTTTTTGGCTCCCGTGCCAATAATTGCACACCCAGAAGGCAATGCGTGCTAGCCCCCACACACCCTGAGCAATGCGTGCGTGACCTCCCCCCCTCGTGCACCACGCATCTCTGCATGTGTGTGCGTGATCCCCTTGTGCACCGCACGTCTCTCCGCATGTGCGTGAGACATCGCCATGTGTGCTGTGCATCTCTGTGCATGCATGTCTGTCTCCCACGCACGCTGCACCCTTTGTGCATGCATGCCAGATACCCGACAATCAGCTGTCAGACAGCAATGCGTGCATGCATGTGCAGTGGGGCTCTTCCGGGTGACCTCTCGCATGCCGGGGGAAATGGCTCTGCGTGCCACTTCAAAGTTACAATGGCACTGAAAAAAATGACTTATGACCGTCTTTCACACTTACGACTGTTGCAGCATCCCCACAGTCACGAGAGGCCAGGCGAGGAGATGTGTGCCTCGATGTGACTGATGTTGAGTTGGCCACGCCCAGCCAGTCACATGACCACCAAGCCACGCCCACCAACTAAGCCATGCCCACAGAACCAGTTGTTTAAAAAATTGAATCCCACCCCTGGTCAGAACCTGCTGAATTCTACCTCTGGCTCAGGTGCCTTCTGGCTGAGACGGTGGGGTGTCAATTACAGGTAGACTTACAAGATTTCGTTTAGTGACCATTCAAAGTTACAACGGCACTGAAAATAGTGACATGACCATGGTTCACATTTACAACCATCGCCGCATCCCCGGGGTCACATGATTTACATTCGAATGCTTGACAACTGGATTGTAGTTACGAAAGGTTGCAGGGCCCTGGGGTCATATTTTGCAATCTTCTGTCAAACAAAGTCAGTGGGGAAGCCACATTCACTTAACGACCATGTGACTAATTTGGGAACGGCAGGGATTCACTTAAGAAAGTTGTAAAATGGGGCAAAACCCACTTAACACATTTCTCACTTAGCAACATGAATTCTGAGCTTTGTTGTGATCATAAACCAAGGATTACCTGTCTACTATAGAAAGAACAGAATAACAGAGTTGGAAGGGACCTTGGAGGTCTTCTAGTCCAACCCCTTGCTCGGGCAAGAAAACAAATATTATTTCAGATAAATGGTTGTCTTCTTAAAAACTTCCAGTGTTGCAACATCCACAGCTTCTGGAGACAAGTTCTTCGAAATAAGTAGGTTCCAAAATAAATAAATATCTCATCCAAAGGGAATTTTGATATAGAACCATTGGTCTTGACCTCAGCAAATTAGTGTTTGTTTATCTGACTATATTTTTATTCCTCGATATGCATTGCCTTCCCTCCGCCTGTTTACGCCATCAGATATCCAGCAAAACCTGCCATCTGTTAATGATTTGCACTGATTCCTGATTTATGGGGCTGTTCTTGGATGCTCCTGGGAGCATAAATCAATTTGATTTATGTACTGCAGCATATTGATCCGCTGACATTCTCTGCATGTGTCATAGCTGCCTAAGAACACAACATTGTGAACCTAACTAGACAAGTAAGACTTTGCAAATCAATTCATGCGTTTAGACATATTCCAAATTTATATATTGTACATTGGATTACGGTACTTATTTCTCCTACGGTATTTATTCATGCATGAATTAATCCCTTTCATTTATTTGTAAATGTTGTGAATGTTCGTATATTTGGCTTCTACCAATAAAAAAGTGTGAGACCATTATACCACCTTCAATACCTGGAGAGGTGTCCTTGGCACTGCTATCATAAAATTCACATTTCAGATGTTGCATATAATAACAATTTGTATTATTACACCAAGAAGAACCAGTGATGTACCAATAAGGGAGAACATTTGTGGCTCAGGATTGAAAGGACGAATCCTTGATGCTCTCTGAGCTTGGTTGTTTTCTTGCAGACGTTTCATGACCCAACTAGGTATCATCATCAGGGCAAGGGGTGGGTTTGTCTCTGTGTATGTACAGTAGTTTGACCCATCAGTATTGGTGGGAGTGTTCTTGGTAGTTCCTTGATAAAGTTCCCTTTGTAGCACTGATGAGGTTACCTAGTTTGGGCTGCTAGAGGCTTATAGGGGTTCGGGAGAGCCCCTAGCTAAGATTCTGTGCAGTTTGGAGAACCCCCAAATCCCACCCCTGACTGGCCCCGCCCACCCTGTCCCACCCAGGAGTCCCCATGTGGCCCGTTTTGGATGCAGGTAAGTGCAGGGCGCGTGTGGAGACCTCAGGGAGAGTGAAAAATGGGCCTCCTAGAAATTCAGGAAGGCTGGGAATGGGCCTGTTTCCGGCTTCCAGAGGAAAGCCTCCGGATCCCATGGAAGCCAAAAATGCCCCCCTTCTGTGGTGCAGGAGGCCGAGTAGGCCACGCCGACCATGGCCACGCCCACCCAGCAACGGAGCAGAGAACTCTTTGCTAAAAATTTTGAAGACCACCCCTGTGGGTAATCAAACGTCTTCAAGAAAACAACCAAGCTCAACCGAGCACCAAAATCCTCCCAGAATTAGATATAATGGGGTGCAGCTAGCGAGTAGATTTCAGTCAGTTCTCTTCAGTTCTCTTAATTATGGAGAAACTTCTTTGTCTTTCAGAGGTCTCGAAACGGAAAAAGAATGAAAATGCATGGCAATGTAGGACGGCCATCAGAGGTTGGGTTAGATAACCAAGTCTCTGATTTCAAAATTCAGAGAATTTTAATAGTACTACGCAGGGGTGGGATTCAAAATGTTTAACAAGTGGTCCTGTGGGCGTGGCTTAGGTGGTGGGCGTGGCTTGGTGGTCATGTTATTGGCTGGGCATGGCCAACTCAATATCACTCACATCGAGGCATGCATCTCCTCGCCTGGCCTCTCATGACTGTGGGGATGCTGCAACAGTCGTAAGTGTGAAAAATGGTCATAAGTCACTTTTTTCAGTGCCATTGTAACTTTGAATGGTCACTCCACACAAGCAAAGTACCAGCAAAGGAGGGGAAAAAAAACTCCAGAGATGTTCCCGAGACAGGAAGTCTAGTCCTGCCAAGAATGTAATAAGGGTTAACGGAGAGGCCGTTTCTGTAAGCAACTCCAGAATGTTTCCTTCCTGCCTTCCTTACAGGATTAGGCCAGTAATTTCTTCTAACAACCGGTTCTCCGAACTGCTTTGAATGTTAACACCCGGTTCTGGAGAATAGGTGAGAACCTGTAGAATGCCACCCCTGATACTACGTCTAAGTCTTGTGATTTTATAATTCTCCAGGTAGTCCTAGGCTTACAACAGTTCATTTAGTGATCGTTCAATGCTACAATGGCTGAGTCATTTGTTAAGTGAGCTTGGCCCCATTTTATGACCTTTCTTGCCAAGTGAACCATGACTGTCGTTAAGTTAGTCACATAAGGTTGTTAAGTAAATCTGGCTTCCCTGCTGACTCAGTTTGCGACTTAGAAGGTCACCAAAGGGGATCACATGAGCTTGGGACACTGCAACCATCATAAATATGAGTCAGATCCCAAGCCTCTGAATATTGATCACATGACCATGGGGATTCTCCACTGGTCATAAGTGTGAATAATGGTCACAAGTCACTTTTTTCAGTGCCATTGTAACTTTGGCTGGTCACTAAATGAACTGTTGTAAGTCGAGGACTACCTGTACTAGAGCTATAGGTTAGATTACGGACTCCGAAAGCACCCTAGAAGAAAGCAATCGACTTAGATTGGCAATATTTGTTAATTTCAGAAGTGAGAAATTTGCTGTCATGTTATTTCTTCAAGCACAGGTGTTCCGAAATGCCATTAGATCATATAACTCAATCCATATAAAATGATAAATCAATTTATTTTAAAAAGGGCTTTAAATTTGGTTTGTTTGTTTGCTTTACAGAGTACGCTCGATTTGAGGCTAAAATCCATGATCTGCGCGAACAGATGATGAATCACAGCATGAGTTCCGGGTCAGGCTCCCTGCGAACCAATCAAAAGCGTTCTCTCTATGTCAGGTATTATTATTTTTATTTTATTATTTATTTGATTTGTCAATCGCTTACAAGATAATAAGTATTAAGTATAAAGTACATGAGTAAGAATACAGGAAATAGGTACGAATAAATGGGGACAATAGGACAGGGATGGTAGGCCTTACAGACCTCTTAGGAATGGGGTGAGGTCAATAGTGGTTAGTTTGAGGTTAAAAGGAGTAGGGGTTTGAGGATGTAACAGCAGAGTCAGGTAGTGCATTCTAGGCATTGACCACTCTGTGGCTGAAGTCGTACTTTCTGCAATCAAGTTTGAAGCGGTTTACATTGAGTTTGTATCTGTTTTGTGCTCTTGTATTGTTGCAGTTGAAGCTGAAGTAGTCATTGACTGGTAGGACATTGTAGCAGATAATTTTGTGTACAATGCTTAAGTCCAACTGTAGGCGGTACAGTTCAAGGTTGTCCAAGCCCCAAATCTCAAGACTGTTGATATAGGGTATTCCTTTGCGAGCAGAGGAGTGTAATACTCTTCTTTTCTGGACTCGCTCAATTGTATTAATGTCCGATATGCAGTGCGGATTCCAGACAGATGAGCTGTATTCGAATATTGGTCTAGCAAAGGTTTTGTATGCCCTAGTTAGCAATTCAATATTTCCAGAGGAGAAGCTTCGTAAGATTAGATTTACAACTCTTAATGACTTTTTTGGCAAAGCTGTTACAGTGAACTCTGGCACTTAGGTCATTTGAAATGAGAATTCCAAGGTCCTTGACAAAGTGAGGATCATCAACGAGGTCATATCTGCCTAGTTTGTATTTGGTGTACTGATTTCTTTTACCAATGTGTAGGCGGATCAAATGCTGCCATTGGACAGCAATCCATAGTGGGTGGAAACTACATCCAAAATGGCACATAGATTTCTTTTTGAAGTTGAAGAAACGGGGCAGAAAGAAGTGGAAAGGGCTGTGGTTTAAACAGGAAAAATAATGGAATGAACGAAGAATTGTCAACCTTTCCCCTTCTTGAATTATTCTAGGTAGTCCTCGACTTACGTCCCCAGTTGAGCCCAAAATGTCTGTTGCTGAGCGAGACAGCTGTTAAGTGAATGTTGCCCTATTTTACGACCTTTCCTGCCACAGTTGTTAAGTGAATCAATGCTGAACGCAGACGCAAGCCGCCAGGGATGATTCTGTGCCATCTGCACTCCAAACTGAAGTGCAAATGGTTCCCGCAGGTTGCAATTTCTCTGGAAAATTCAGATTTCCAGAAAAATTGCAGACTACAGGAATCACCTGCGCCCCAGCCTGAGACTCAGACAACACAGACTCACCCCAACAGCACAATCCAGCTGGGCATTCAGAGGAAGACCCAGGGCCATCCCCTCTTCATCCTAGGACACGCAGGAGGAACGGAGAAGGGAGCAATGTGGCTTACGAGAGAGAAGAAGGCCCTGATCCCTTTCATTAGTTGCAGCTGGGAGAACAGGATATAAGTGGGGCATTTGCACACAGCACCTTTCTGGAAGCAAAGCATGCATTATCTTAGTCAGGCCTTATCTGGGTTTTGGCGTCCTCCCAACTGTGGGTGCTGTGTTATCTTGTGGAAGTCTGCAATTTATCATCCTGGCCTGCCGTGTTAATTACTTCAGTGTGGTTTGTGTTGTTGTTTTTTATTTCTAATTATCTTTACCTTGGGCTCGGACTGCATTTCTGCCTTTCATAGACTGTTTTTTGAAGAGTTTGTTATCCAGCCGAGGATAACTGGACATTGGGGCCAAGTTGGAGGCATTGAAGGGAATTTATTCTACTTTGGAGACTTTGTTATTTTTGTGTCATGCCCCGGGTCATCACACCATCCTGCAGAAAGCACAGCCCCACAACACAACCCGTTCCTGATGCCAAGAAGGCTCCACACTCATTTGCGCCACTCAGGTGACCCTGAGGATACAGATAAACCACCAAGCGGCCTCAGCGACCCTCTAAAAGAATGCAAATGACTGGCTGCCCGCAAGGAGTATCAATCCTTCCATTCCCCCACCATCCAGACAGAGCTGAAGAAGCTTCTTGGATGAGAAGCGAAACGTCTTCAAAGAAAAACCAGAAAGTCCAGTTGCCTCTTGGAAAAAAAAAAAAACACCTCTGAGACACAGTCAATGCAGAAAACCAGATTTGCTTAGCAACCATTTGATTCCGCTTAACAATTGCAGTGACTCTCTTAAGCATGGCAAAAATTGGTTGTAAAATCAGACACGATTCGCTTGACCATCACTTTCCTTAGCAATGGGAATTCTGGTTCCAGTTCTAGTTGTAATTCAAGGACTACCTGTATCCTCTCCCACCCTAACTAAGTTGTTCTGACCCAGTTCCCCAAACACAAAAAAACCTCTGTATTTAAATTAATTATTCCTTTAATTAGGAGCCCCAGCAGCCCGGGGAAAAAGTTTCTCTCTTACAGCAGGCTTACAAGTCTGTCCGGCGGGGAGATGAATTGTTGTGAGTTAATATCACAATAGTTGTCTGCCACATCTATTCATCTCTGCCCCCTGCCTTTTATTCCCAGAACTAGGATGGGGCTTCACTAGCAGTGGTGGCTTTTCCATCCCAAGGACCGGCCCATAGATTTCCACTGCTCTCCTCTCCTCCACCTTCTGTGCGTCTGCATGTCAGGCACTGAACCCAGCTGTTCCTCCTCTTCCTTATCAGCCACTTTCAGGCCTGGGGGCTGTTGATTGTCCATCTAAGGGCTGATGGACAGCCCAGGCTTCCTCTCTGTCTCTCTCTCTCTCTGCCAGTTCCATTTCCCCCTCAGAGCTCTCAGGTTGCCCTGATGGTGACCTTGACTCCCATTCCTACAGGAGGGGCCAGCGGCCCACAGGCCACAACATATGTTTTCACTGGTTTACAGAATTTTATCAGGGTGGAAACCATACAGATCTCTGGGGCAGTATTCTCCCAGAGAGTAGGCACCATGACCAACAGACATGGTGACATTGTTTAATAATAGATGGAACCAGAAGCAGGCTGATTCAACTAGAAATTTACTTCCTCGCGGTAAAAGTGGAAGCAACTATCCAGAGAATTGGTGGACCCACTTTCTTTAGATGTGTTAAGGAGGAGTTAGGTGGCCATAATGCTTGTATCTGCACTCCCTCCCTGTGTGGGATGCTGTACTCAATGGCCTAAAAGCATTCCTTCTGGCTCTGTTTCTATAAATTAAAGAATCTTAATTTCCCTTGAGGGAGGAGTGTGGTACAGCAAGATAGAAAAGTACAGCCAGATAGAAAAGAACATTTTCCTCCCCAGAGGCATAGTTCTAGGAAGCAAAATAACAGAATAATAGAGATGGAAGGGACCTTGGAGGTCGACTAGTCCAACCCTTGCTCAAGCAGGAAACTCTATAACATCTCAGACTAATGGCTGTCCAATCTCTTATTAAAAACCTCCAGTGTTGGAGCATCCACAGCTTCTGGAGGCAAGTTGTTCCACTGGTTAATCGTTCTAACAGTCAGGAAATTCCTCCTTAGTTCTAGGTTGCTTTCTCTCCTTGGTTAGTTTCCATCCGTTGCTTCTTATCTTGTCCTCCTTAGCTTTTTGTTGTGGTTCAGTTGCTAAATTATGTCCAACTCTTTTCGCAATTCCCTGTTCTCTGTCTGTCTGTGGGAATTTGCCCAAACGCATGTTTGCTGTGCCAATGACACCATCTTACCATCTTATCCTCTGCCATCTCTTTCTCCTTTTTGCCTCTCCGTCTTTCCCAACGTCGGGGTCTTCTCCTCCAAGGAATTCTCTCTTCTCATTAGACGGCATCAGCTTCAGGATCTGTCCTTCCAAAGGACAGTCAGGGTTGATTTCCTTTAGGATCGACGGATCGGATCTCCTCGCAGTCCAAGGGACTCTCAAGAATCTTCTCCATACTATTTCCATAGCAAGGAAGATTAAAGCAGGAACGGTTAAATTGAATACTTCATTTAAAAGAGGAAAATATGTTCTTATTTGGATATCACTTCTGGAATTTGTGCTTGTGAAGAAAAAAAACAACCCAAAACTTTGATCTTGGTTTTGTTGTTCAGAAAGATCCGGTGTTATAAAAATGGGATAGTTTTATATTTTAATAGGCAAAAGCAAAAAGTTGAGGTTGGAAATGGAATGTGTTTATTTTGTACCGTGTTAGGAAAAGTTGGAAGTCAATGCTCCATTTTCTTTCTTTTTTTTTCTCTTCCCTCTTGTATTTCACACCCCCTTTTCCCATTTCCTTTTCTTTCCTTAATTTCCTATTTTCTTTTCTTTCCTTCTTTTGTATTTTATACAATATTTTTTTTAAAAAAAATGACCTATTAAAAAAAAGAACATTCTCCTACTCCACACCTCAAAAGCATCCATTCTCCAGCCCTCAGCCTTCCTTACGGTCCAACTCTCGCTAATACATTTTACTGGGTTCCTGGCTCTGTTGCCCCTTTAATATCTCTTCCCGTGCTTCCATTTGGTGAGAACATGTTTCCTTCTGCTGCTGCTGCTTTGGTTCAAACACCTTGATGATTTGGGATGGAGGGAAGGCAATTTCACCGCTATCACCTTTTCCCTGCGGTGATGATTGCTCATGGTGGAACTAATTCAGCTGATGACCTTACATAGATCCAATTAAGCCCGGGCTTTTAAGAATATGTCAGCATGACAGGGAGAGGGAAAGGAGAAGGCCCAGTTGGGAGGAAAACACTGTGGCTTGAGAGAGAAGATTAATTGTGTTATTTTGGCTGGTGGTGGATGGGGAGGGTCAGGAGAATTAATCAGCAGTGGCTCTTTAAAGCATTAGTAGAGCAGAACATGATTAACTGAACATGGCCCATTGAGGGGGGTAAGGCAAACAAACTTTGGAAGAATCTGTCTAAGGCAGCGTTTCTCAACCTTAACAGAATAACGGAAGGGACCTTGGAGGTCTTCTAGTCCAACCCCCTGCTCAAAGAGGAAACCCTGTTCTATTTCAGACAAATGTCCAATTTCTGCTTAAAAACCTCCAGTGATGGA